AGAGTGCAGGACTAGATGATATTAACCCTGGTGTTGTAAAAGCAGTGTCAGTTATTATAGAGAAACCTCTTTTTATGATTTTTAATGATTCTCTAAAAGACGGCATTTTCCTGACCAGTTAAAATTAGCAAAACTAATTCCGATATACAAAAGCGGTGGTGACTCGCTAAAATCTAACTATAGACCAATTTCCATACCTCATTCTGTCCTGTGTCCTGTGTTTCGAAAATGCTAGAGCTTATTATACAATTTTCATATTTTTCCTGTTTTCCAAAATACTAAAGCGTACTTGTTTGCTAAACCATCTAAATCTGAAAACCTTCCACTTAAACTACCAGAATTAAAAATTAACAATATTAAAATAAAAATAATTTTTTCAATGAAAAAACTTAGAATGATTTTCAATGAACATTTATATTGGAAAATATTTTAATAAAATTGGAAAAAGCCAAATAAAGTTAGCCAAAAATAAAGTTTTAAAGACTCTGGGGATTATGTACAAAACAAAACATCATTTGAGTAAAATATGTTTAAAAAATTTATATTGTTCATTTATACATAGTCATATTAACTATTGTAATATTGCCTGGGCAAACAATCATTTACCTTTCCTGAAAAATATTTAAACAAAACAAAAGCACAAGAAGACTTAATAAACCTCCTTGCAAAGGGGGCTTATTAAACCTTCTTGCAAAACCGCAGATAGGTACGAAAAGTGCAGAGCCGCTACTCAAGGAAACAAATGCTCTAAACGTAAACGAACTAAATATCTACCATTAATTGTTATTTATGTTTAAACTTTAAAACAAAATAATTTTAATTTGGACTTATTTCATTTGCAATTTTCAAAATATTTTTATAAAAAATTTCTCTCTAATAATCATAAATATGAAATACTCAATAAATAATTACTTACATTCCACTAACATCACCAAAAAAAATCTGACTTCTCAATGTATGTATGAGACCACGCTTGTGGAACTCAGTTCTTGACGAAAATGTGAAAAAAAAAAAAAATCTATTGATATATTTTAAAGAATTATGAAAAAACACTTACTAAGTTTAAACAAAAACATACCCTTTTTTTTTTTTTTTTTTTAAAAGAAATTTATTTTATGATATATCTTTCTTGTTGTTTTTGTTTGTTTGTTTCAGTTTTGTATAAAATATATAAATAAATGAATTTAAATCTTCAAAATGTTTGGAATCTTCTTAAATTCTAAATCTCTAAATCTCTGTTTAAATATTTTAATACATATAACATATTTTTATATTTTAAAATATTTAAAATATTTAAATATATATAAACATATATTAATATATAACGTTTACATAAGGTATATATAAGTGTATATATACATATTCAATATAATATGTAAACTATTACGTATTATATTGAATATATATACGTATATGTAGCGATTTGTAAATTTTATTACAAAATTTTATTAAATATACGTTGTATAACTTATATATACGTTATAATAATATTATACTTTTGCGCTTGCCTTCTCATACGAGCAATTTTTTATAGCTTTTAAACGTAGGTGTCTTTAAAACAGTTAAATGCAAATGTAAGCAACCAGAAGACAATTTTTTGACAAGAAATAAATTTCAATTTTAAACAAATAGACGACTTTCTGCCATGTTCAAACAACTTATCAAAAAAAAATTCTTTTAAACCTTAAAACACTCGTATTGGCTTTAGCAGGAACGGTTTATTTCCACTTAATCGAACAAAAATTTTCTTGTGAAAAAAATTGCCCAAGTTTTTGAAGCTGTTGAAGAAGAGAACATTGATAGTTTATTTCAGCCTGGAACCAATACACCTAAAACCCCTGAAACACCATTAAGTAAAATGTTAAACCAAGAAGCGTTACTTTGAAGTTTAAATGCAGCCGTGGCGCAGTGGTAGCGCACTTTCCTCAGAAACATAGAATCCCTGGTTCAAACCCCACCTCTGGGCAAATTTTGCGACAACGGTTAGGAAGGAGGCGTGAACTTCCTGACAAACCCGAACAAGAATCAAAACAGACAAAATCTAGACAAAAAACTTTTAAATGCAAGTCAGCTACCAAAAATAAACAAAAAAAAAAAAAAAAAAAAGATTTAAGACTCGAAAGAAAATATTATTCCGGTAGAAGAGCCCATTTGTTCATGTTATTCTTGTAGTGTCGATTGGGTTAGTAGCACTGAAGCCGTATTCTCATCTCTCCGTTAAGCTTAACGGAGCGTTTGTCAAAAATTTCATTGCAACATTTCTAAGTAAAGAAATGACAAAAACTTTTGAAAAAAAGTTTCAATTTGTTTAAATAAAACTAAGACTAAAATAAAAAAATTTTAGCTTATTTTATTCTATTGGCATTCCATGCATATAAATTCCATAGAAGGATGATAATCAATCACTTGTGTGATTGATTATCATCCTTCTATGGAATTTATATGCATGGAATGCCAATAGAATATCTTGTTCGGGTTTGTCAGGAAGTTCACGCCTCCTTCCTAACCGTTGTCGCAAAATTTGCCCAGAGGTGGGGTTTGAACCAGGGATTCTATGTTTCTGAGGAAAGTGCGCTACCACTGCGCCACGGCTGCATTTAAACTTCAAAGTAACGCAATAGAATATTTTTTGCCATAACATAATTAAAAACAGTTTCAATTACGTAAAGTATTTATAAGATTTTTGTTAATTAATTAAATGAGTTAACGCGTGTCCGGAATTAGGTTCAAAGTACACTCATTCCGGATAAAAACTTAAAAAGTTTTTTAAAAAATTAAATTTTTTGAAATTAAAATAATAATTTTTTTTAAATTGTTCGATTTGTATTATAGTTTCTCTTTAAAGTATCTATAATAAAGAGAAAGAGAAGCAACATTACAACGATTTGATAACAGTTAGAGGTTGCTTGCAAAAGCAGGTTCAACTATGTTTACAATGCATTTTTACACCTTACCTAAAAGAGAAAGGGCGTTTTTGGAAGATCCACCCCAGACATAAGAACAGTATTTTATACAAGGACAGTAGTAGAGAATTGTCAGTTCTGGCTCATTTTCATTTTCAACCATCTATTTAACCATATATTTAATTAAATATATGGTTCATTGTGTTTAAATTGTATAACTAAGAAATAAATTTTTAAATCAATTTTTTAAATTTAAAAATCAGTTTTCAAATTAGTGCTAATTTCGTTTCTTGTCGTCGCGGAATTTTCTTGTGTGACGTCATCGGTCACAACGAGAAAGTTTATTCATCTATCTCATCATTAAACTAACTTCTATTTCACCTCCTTCTTACAAAATCAATCGATAATTTATATTATACTACAAACCTCAAATATTCATTTAAAACCGTGTAAACATATTAAATATAATTACTAATTAAAAATTATACTAATCACAAACCGCATAGTTATCACTAACTGTTTTTAGAGTTTACGACAACATAATTGGAATTTCTTGATTCGTTTTTTGTAGTTCTTGTTCATAAAAAGTACCTTGTATTTCTTCACCATTATGATCAGTTATTTTATAAGTTGGTGGATCTGTGTACTGAATCTGTGATATAGTGAATACCTCTTCAGTCCATCTTGGTGTGTATCCTTTTTCAAACGCTCCTTTCTTTTTAGTTATTCTCACTTTATCACCTATTGAAAACTTGGGTTTAATAGGATTTGATCTCACTTTTCCATTTAGATTTAGAAATACTATATTCTCATTCTTTTTATTGCTTGCTTCAACTGGAGTCATTTTAATTGAAAAATGCTTTGTATTGTTGTATTGATTTACCATTTTATCTAAAACATCAATGTATTTTCTATTTTTAAGTATTTTACTGAAAGAATGAGCTACTTCAATTCCAGTTTTAGTCTTCAATGGAAAAATCCATCCGTCCTTTGAAAATACATCTATCCATCTATCGATCAATAAGTATTTTATACCGTCATTGAATTTAGAAAAAGCTTGCATGTCTACTAAATCAGCAGCCCATATGTCATCAATCCCGTTTGCAATCACTTTTCTTTTTCTAAAATGTTTTACAACAGGCTTATGAAGTTCGTTTGCAAGTTCATCAGTCCATTTCAGGTTTTTGCTTTTTTTGTTGATCGCTGGTAGTTTTTTGACTTTACACCTAATCCAAACTTTGCTTTAGCAAATATGATAGATTTTATAATCTTTCTTTTTTAATTTTTCACGTGGTGTTGGATCTTGTATAGCATCCATTTGTTCAATCATTTGTTTATCAGCTAAGTTTCTATGTTTTTTATCTGGAAAATGCTTATAAACGAGATCATGAATACCCAGTGGGCACACGACGTTATTTCGACGTTGATTTACAGTTGATTTTTAGTCGCGACGTCGTATAACCAAAAATCAACGTTGTATCAACGTTGAAAAATTTGTTTAAAACTATCAAATAAAATCGACGTTGATTCCACGTTATTTCAACGTCTATATTACGAATTCGACCGTTCGTAATTGCAATATGAGAACTAAAACACGCATGCGTGACTTAAAATATTTTTTATTAGCTTAACAAATAACAAGTAAAGACTTAAAAAGTTACTTATTAGCCCAATAAAAACAAGTAAAGTCACACATGCTAATAAATTAGGTCATCTGTTGCCTTTTTATAAGGTTTTGAATTTGACAATTTAACAATAATACATGGCTTAACTTGTGATGCATTTAGTAAGGTAAATATTAAATGGATATTTCTTTATGACCTGTCACGATAATTTTGGTCCGCCGATAAAAATGACCCCGGACTAAATTTCTCAGAAAATATATATCCGGCCGGATAATTTTTTTCTGAAAAAATTGGTCTGAGCTAGAAAAAATTGGTCCGTGTTATGCATGTGCGCATATATCTTTTAAATTATCATGGAAGACGACCTTGTTTAAAAAGTTTATACTTATTTAAGTAAAAAGCAATACCCTGATGGAAGTCTAGAAGGCGAAAAAAGAGTCATTAGAAAAAAAGCCTTAAAGTTTAAGATTTCGGAAGGTGGGGAATTACTATATAAGTATAAAAAGAAAGACAAGGTAACTCGTTTATATATAAATATTGGCAACAATATTTATATAAATGCACACTCACTATTATTATTATTATTATTATTATTATTATTATTATTATTATTATTGTTATTACTATTATTATTGCTATTATTGTTATTATTATTATTATTTTGTTATTATTATGTTTTTAAGTGATAGTAATATTATGTAAATACATGTTTAACTACTTTACTATCATTATTACTTATTATTGATTATTGATATATTTTAGCTTTAATTTTGATTTAATGTTTATTTTTATTTTGATAATGAGTATTAATATCATATTATTGTTACTGTTATTATTTTCATTGTTGTTAATAATATCAATAATATAGATGTGTTATATTTTCAAACTATTTTTTACTTTATTTGTATAACTGTTTGATAGCTTAACTATGTTTATATCTTTAACTATGTTTATTGTATTTGTTAGGAATTTATTTTATACTAGTATATATATTATTTTAAATATCCTTGAAATGTTAACAACTAATTTCAGAGTATATTTAATTTGATTTGAACAAGGTAATAAACAAATACTGACAATTCAATGCTTGATTTATCAATATTTATTCATAACAATTATTTATTCTAAAATAAACAGCAGTTAATATTGTTCATTATTTAGCCTAATTCATCAAATTTAATCTAAATTTGAAATTTCTGCAATTTGAAATTAAGAAATCATATTCAAATTAATATACATGTAACATATAACATAGCAATATAGCTCAAAAAAATAAAGTTCTAAATTGTTTTTATTTCTGCTTTGCAACTTTAATTGATTTTTATATTTGTCTGTATTTTTTGCCATAGCTTATTGATGACATAGTTTTAATAACTGAATATAACAAAATAAGTTATAGAAAAATATAATTATCATTTTAGTTTCCTTGTTTCTTTCCTTGTATGGGCTGGATGTTTCTTATAATGCCGTGTCTCTAACATTTTTTTTCCTGAAATGTAGCTTTTTCAAATCATCTGAAACTCACTCTTTCCAAGTTTTTATGTTTCTACCTCTACCTTTTTCTCCTAAAACTTTTAACTTTTTACATGTTGATAACCAGTCATCTGCATCCTTACGCTCTACATGCTCAAACCACCTCAATCTTCCCTGATGCACCCTATCAGATACACTCACCATGCCTAATCTTTTTCTTAAATCATCACTGCTTTTCTTGTCTTTTAGAGTCACACTGCACATCCTTCTAATCATCATCCTTTCTATCCTTTCCAAATGCTGAACATCATCAACCTTGATTGCTTTTAGTTTCTTTTTCATTCAATTAATTCTTAGTAGCCTCTCCCCCTCCCCTCTTTAATGATAGAGACCTTACTCTGACTTACTCTGAAGAAAACCTTACTCTTGCCCTAGATGCTTCTTCTGCTCTTCCAGCTGATCCAATTGTATCTCCAAGATAAAAAAAAATTAATAACACACTCTATCTTTCCTCTACTTTTTATTTCAACCACTTTTTTAACTTACTCTATACTCACCAAAAATACATTTTCTACACTCAAAATCAACAATCTTAAAAGAGCCTTGTACCACCACATCTCTTATGAACCAATTGCCTACAAACTGTCTAAACAATAAAATTTGCTTTAACTCCATACCTACACACTCCACATTACACTCCACTTCCCAGTATTTTTTGCTTGTTCATTCTTGACTGTACAGTGCATAACTTTTGTTTTATTCATGTTTATCTTGAGCCCTTTAGCTTCAATTCCATCTTTCCAAATTTCAAATCTTAATACTAATTCCTCTTCTGTTTCTGTTTTCTGCTATCAGACACAAATTATCTGCACAGAATAACTCCCACGGTAAACCAACTCTGAACTCTTTAGAGAGAGCTTCTAAAACAATAATAAAAAGCAAAGAACTAAGCACTGAACCCTGATGCACACCAACTTTTACTTCAAAACTATCATTCTGTCAATCTCTTGTTTTGATTGTTGTTGTGACATTTTCATACATAGCCATGATGACTGCCACTAGCCATTCTTGAATACATAAACACTAACAATTATAAATTAATACTTATATGCAATGTTGTTATTTAAAGGAACTATTTCTGTGATACATCATAAATCATGATGAGAGAAGAAAAATATTAGTAGCTTGCCATGTTCATCCTACTTCTGGCTATATGGGTAAAACAAGGACATTAGGCAGGGTAAAAGAGCGTTTCATGTGGCACGGAATGGTAAAAAATGTCCATGAGTTGGTAATTTACATTTTGCATTATTATGCGTTAGAGTAAATCAAAAAATTTTGATTTTCCCTAATAATTTATAATAAAGTATTGCTATACCATTCTATTCTGTTTCACCTTATATCATGTGATGTATGCCAGAGAATGAATAGAAAGTTAAACTGTGGAAAACCAGAGATGCACCCAATAAAGGTAAAAGCTCCATGGTATATGGTTGGCATAGATTTTATTGGCCCACTCAGTCCAATTAGTGAAGATGGTTGTAAATACATTTTAACTATTAGTGAGTATTTTTCAAAGTAGGTTGAAGTAATAGCCACTAAAGACAAAATGGCAGTTACAGTGGCAGGATGTCTGTTCAAGGTATTACATTTTTATTTCTGTCATTGTTTTAGCATCCTTGCTAAATGCTACCTTTCTGGGTATCAAGTTTTTGTGTCCAAATAGTTTGCAACTTTACATTCTATATTTCCAAACAATCTTAAAATTCCCTGATAATCTCAACTCAATACACTGATTTTCTCTCCAATTTCTTTATACATAAATCTATTTATATATGAAAATTTATTACAAAAATATATCCCTAAACTTATGTAGTGAAACTATTTTGGATATCCGAAAAAACAAAAAATAGAGAAAATATCAGGAATTCCAGAAATATCCAGATAATCCTTGAACATCAATATTTTTTTGGTAACTTCTATTTTTATTTTTTGAATTTGTCTAAAAGAGAAAAGGCATCAATGGGAGATTCAGCCCAAATGTGATATTTACACTTATGATAATTGTTGCTAAAGTTGCTCTTTTAAATTTCTAACCTGAATTATTCTCTTAATTCACATGCTTGTTATTTCTTTTCAGCTTTGAAAATGTCCCTATAAATTTATTTTACATACCACTTTCTTTCTGATCAATAAATTTCTTAAACTTTAATTAATTAATTCCATTTAAAAAAAAAAAAAAAAATTACACTTAAATGTAGATAAAATAATAATATAATATTATATCTTTCTGAAGAGTTCAAATGTGATGATCTTGAAAAGGAATCTGATGGTGTATTTGTTAGGATACACTAGGGAAAATTAAGTTGGTTTCGGTATGTAGAGCGTAAAGGTGCTACTGATTGGGTATCAGCATTTAGAGAGAAGTTTTATAAGAAAAGTGAGGTAGGTAAAGAAAATTTTTGAAAGAGTTAAAGAAAGACGATGCACAAGATTGATGAAACGTGTAGTAGCGAATTTAGTATAAGGCATAGGGGAGAGCTGCCACACACACACACACACTCTCCCTAGAACAAGGAGAACAACGCCCCTTAAAACATTAAAAAATATGTATGTAATATGCATGATAAAAGTCATGTAAAACCAACAAAAACAACAACAACAAGCTATTTATTTTATGTTTATCATTTTACAATAGTTTTGATAATAATAATAATAATAATAGTAATAATAGCAAAAATATATAATAATAACATAAGATAAAAATACCACCAAAGTTGTTAGTCCTTGGGCTTGACCTTAACCTTGGCTTTTCATTAAGGCCAAAAATTGAAGTCTTGACCTTGAAACTGTTAGCCTTGGTCTTGAAAATTTTTGCCTTGGCCTTGATTGTTTTGTCCTTGGCCTTAAAAAAAATACATATTTTCTAATTGATTTCATTAAATTCTTCCCATAACCTTAGTCTATTTTTCAAAATGTGGTTTTCTTGTCACTGTACTTGTTGCTTACATAAATACCTTCTTAATCAATAGTTTAAAATGTTAATCAGGGCAAGAAGCACCAAAAAAGAGTTTCTACAATTATTTTTTTTTTTTTTTTGAATTATATATTATTAAAAAAAAAAGTTTAATATTAGTTTTAAAAACATTGATTTGAAATGTAATTCGAAACGCAAATCACGATCTGCTTTGATTAGAGATTTGGTTCAAAACAAAAAATGCTGATTTGCGGGGCTCTAATGTATATTGTACTATTATCATAAGTCTATTATTCAGGTTTTCATGAGGTTGGGAGTGTTAAGAGTTTTGCTGTCAGATAATGGGACTGAATTTTGCAATGAACTTAATAATACCCTTAATGTATTGCTTGGTATAAAGAAAAGGCTCACAACTCCATATCACCCTACAAGTAAGTTAAATGTTAATTTATTGTTAGTGAATAGGCTAGTAAAGAAATAAGATAATAATATCTCAAGTTATTTGTTTAATTAGGTTAATTAGTTTAAATTATTTAAATTATAAAACAATTTGTTTTCCATTTAAGGCTAATGGACTTGATGAACAATTTAATCAGACTTTGCAGAATATGCTAGTAAAATATGTATCCTCCAAAAATGGAGTCTTTTTCTAGATATTTGTGCATTTGCGTACAAAATATCTTGTCATGATTCCACAAAGTTCACACCTTTTCAATTGATGTATGGTTGACAAGCATATCTTCCAATTGATGTAGATTTCCAGACAGAGTCTTTAGAAGAATTAAGTTCAAATTATTTTAAATTAAAGGAGCCAGACATATTGCAAAGAGAATAAAAGTTAGTTTTAGAAGAAGCTGAACAAAATATTTTAAAAGCTCAAGTTAAGCAAAAAAAAAATTATGATAAAAAACACTTAAAATCTGGGGTCTTTAAAGTCAGTTCATTGGTTCTAAAATTAAATCATAGACGTAAAAAAACCAAAGGAGGTAAGATAAATGATAGATTTGTAGGCCCATATAAAATACTTAGTTGCCTTCCTCATGGAGTATACAAACTTCAAGATAATAAAGGCGTTACAATTCGTGCTACTGGTGGTCATCTTAAAATCTACAAACCTTCAGGTCCTACTTTACAAAATTGCAAAACATGCTCTTCTGATGAAGAAGTTCTTGATAATCGATGTTTTGATGATGAATCATCAGACTCGATATCAGAAAATGAACCAAATAATGATAACTATGAGGGTTTAAATAAAACTCCTCCAAAATCTAGTACCCCTGGTAATGGCTCACCTTCAGTAGATGCACTTAACTATGCTAATGAGTGCTTAAAAGAAAATATAAATAGTTTCACTATTGATGATACACATTCAGAAGTATAGCTACATTAGGCTGTACACAGGGGACTGTCAGGGTTTATGACAGCTTGCATAATAAGTTGAGTTGAAAATTTTAGTTTTTTAGTGAGAGTGCCAACAAGTTAGATTTGAAAGTTTTAGTTTTTTAGTAAGACTGCCAACAAGTTAGATTTGAAAGTTTTAGTTTTTTAGTAAGAGTGCCAACAAGTTAGATTTAAAAGTTTTAGTTTTTTAGAAAGAGTGCCAACAAGTTAGAGTTTTTATTTATTAATATTTTATTTATCTTTTATTTTTACCATTATAGATTATAAACAAGCTGCGAGTATGATGCTTTTTTTATTTTCTATTAATTTAGGTTTTAATTATGTTTAAAATATGATTATGGTTTTTATATTCAATTAAAATTTTATTTCTTTAGTTCTACTTTTCGTTTAAATTGCATTGAACTCCCTACTGTTGAAATATGGTTTCAATTTGGTAAATTTTAATGATTTGAAATTTATTATATTGATCATTAGCCAATAGTTAAATAAAAGAAATTGAATTAAACATAATCAAGGTAAAAACACTTTATTAACTGGTAACGTTGTTGATCAGTTTAATGTTTTTTTTGTCGATATATTGTACTTGTGATGTTAATAATACTTTTTGTTAAAGTTAATATGATATTATTTTAATTATTTGCTTAATATATTTTTAGATTTTAAATGTTTTCAAATTGGTTTGAATGTAGTACATAAAGGTTTAAAAACAGAAATAAAAAAGTTAGGCTGTCTAAATAAAATACAATTTTAATAAAATTATGTGTAGAAAATTTAAAATTGTGTGATTGCTTGCTTACAAGATCCCCTTAATCTATTTGCTAAGCGCATTTATCGATACAAGTTTAACGAATAGATAACAAGATTAGAGAAATCAAGTTTAATGAATAGATTTACGGCTATCTAAAACACAGGCCAATTAATCGTGCAAACCGTAAAAATAACTGGAAGCCAATTAACTAAGAAAAAAGGTTATTATCGTTGTTTAAAATTAGAAAAAAAATATTTCTTGAGGCTTATTATGCCTTTAAAGTGAAAAGTGTTGCAAATCGCTCTACTAATTATTTAACAGATAAAAAAAAGTGTGCTGTTTACAGATTACCAAAAGATCCAGAAGAAAGTAGAAAGTGGCCAAGAAGCAACATTCCTGAAAGCAAATACCCTTATATGTTTTGAACATTGGCCTGTAAATTTCGAAAAAATAAATGTTTATAAGCAAAAATGTTAATGTAACACATAAATAAAACTTTTTGTCTTAGTCAGCTTAAAGCACCTCATGATGAAGAAAATCATGGAAATTTGGCTTTGGTACAGCTCTTGGCTTTCTATTGTACCAAACACTGACGGTACTGGACAAAGCATGTTCGATCTCTTAAATTTGACGCTAAAGCGGCGTGGCTTTAATTTGCAATACTGCCTATCGGACACCACTTATGGTGTTTCAAGTTATCATGACCAGTACAACGGACTGTAACAAAAGATTACAGAAGCACCATGCTGCAGACCACCATGTACATATTTGGTGTTATGCTCATGTTCTCAACTTAGTTGTGAAGGAGGCAAACAGTTGCTGCATTCAGGCAGTTTCATTTTTTAACCTTTAGCAAAATGTTTCAACATTCATAAAACTGTCATATAAGCGAATGGCGACTTGGATTAAACTTGTTGAAACACAAATTGGAATGGATAAGATAAAAAGATTGAAGTTGATTGGTCGGGTAAAACAAATGCTGCAACAGCGATATTTGGAACATTTGCTGCGCCGTCTTCAACAGTGTTTGTCAATTTAATTTTTTGTCCGTCATTTATAAGCGAATCAGAAAATTTTGATGCAAAAACACGTCATGAAGCTAAGACATTCCTCATGCCATTCCTGAAATTCGATACCATTTTGACTGCCTTTACATACCTGCACATTTTTGAAAAAGTGGGATCACTTTCAATATACCTGCAACTCGTGGATTAAATGTGTTGGTTGCATTCAAGATGGTTAAGATGATAAGGCTGCAATTGAATTGAAAAGTCAATCAAGATTTTTTGATGATGTTCATAATAACGCTCTTCAATTTGTACGGATAGCAAACGCAAACATCATCCAGAAAACTGAAACCATATTAGAGGTGAAGACAGAACTAGCTGTTAAACGGAAGCGGAAGACACAAATGATGTTAGATGATCATACATGACGAATATAAAGCTTTGGAACCCTACAGTATTCCCACTTACAACGCGGTGATGGATCAGGTAGTCCTAAGTCTTGAGTCACGTTTTACTTCACTTTGACAATTATATATGGACATGACATATTTTGATACAACAGTTTACCCAGCATTATCAAATTTTTACCAGATGCCGATGTTGATAAAATAAAAGCCAAGCTGTTGTCATTTGTGATTAACTATGAGATTTTGAAATTATCTTGGCCATTAACGACAACATTAAGAGAGAATGCAGATCAAAAGGATGATCCAGATTAACCGCGTTGTTATAAAAATACTAATAAAGCATGTGGATCGTGTCGATCTTATGTGTTACAATTTCTTGCTGCATATAGACTCAACGATAAAACCTATGACAATTTGTATCATAATTACAAAAAAATATATACTAATTTTGTAACACAAACCAAAGGTGAAAAATCGTTTTCTAATTTAAAGTTAATCAAGATAAGATTGCGAATGTCCACTTAGAGTTGTATACGTTGACGTCTTTAGAAAAAAGTCTACTTGATAGCCTTGAGTGTCATACAATCATTCAAAGATATGCATCTTCGTCCTCTAAATTGTGCAAACTGTTATTAAGAATAGTTATTGCTATACTTTGCACTGTGAAAATGGCACATCACTTGTACTTTTTTAATTCAATCTAATTTTATTATTCTGTGATGTAATTGTTTCTCTCATGACTTATTTTTTGAAAATTGCGGACCGGGCAGTCTTTGTAATATATATACAGCCATTCCGCTACTAGTGTCATGTGTAGAGTAAAGCTGAGAAAGGTCTGAGATAACTTGGGGCTACTTTGACATGTGGATAGCATTGACATTTATTAGATTAAATATTTTTACCTGTTGACTATTGTTTAATTATTTTACCATACGTTATGTTTATTTGATATGTTACCATACCAAATAAACGAACATAACTATTTTTACTTGTATTTTAGTATAAATAAAAGCATGATTCATAAATTAATTACATTTAACTGTGGGCATAAATTAAAATAATTTCTTGCTTTTTTAGTAAACATTAGGATATGGATATTGAATGCCAAAACGCCCCCAAAAATACTCTAATTTTTTCAATAATGGTGCGCTGAATCATTTCAGGTACACATATAAACGTTATCTTAGAAATTTAACAAAATCCTTTGACAAAGTCCAAAGCTATGGAATCAATGAGGAACTTTGCGCATCGATCAAAGCATGGCTATTAGGAAGATAACAGACAGTCATAACCAGAGAACATGCCATTGGGAAAATGTTGCCACCAATGACCATAACGTACGCTGCTAGTAATATTTTTGTTGCAATGTTCCATTACATTACAAGGCCATTACAAATAGTAATAATCTTAAAACCGACAAACCTGTTCGGTTTTAAGACCATTACTGTTTGTTTTGATATTCCAAACAAATTTAAACATCAGATCAAGTTTTACAATAATGATAATGCAGTCATAAAGTTATTCCTGGACGCGGGTTTCATGCAAGCAGACATTCAAAGCCCTTCAAATCGAGAAGTATAATAAGATATGACTATGCCGGGTCTATGCATCTATGCGGTCTATGCATCATATATGCAATTTTTTTCTATTAAATATGAAAAAGCTATGAAAGATCATAGAGTATGAATGAGCCAACCATTATCTTTGGAGAAATTGATTTCAT